CCTCACCTTCTCCTTCTCCAGCTGGGCATGGCTCTCCTCCTCCAGAGCCCGGCAGTGTTGCTCCAGCTGCCTCTCTCGCCGGGCCCAATCCTGGCGCTCCTCCTCCAAGGTGGCCCTCAGAGCCTCCAGCTGGCGCCGCTCCAGATCCCGCTCAGCTTCCAGGTTGCGCACACGGGAGCGTTCTGCCTCCAAAGTGCATGAGAGGGAGGCCTTCTCCTCCTCCTGTATAGGTGGGGGAGAGCGGGGCAGTATGGCATAGTGGTGAGGAGAAGAACCCTGTGGACTGCCTTGAACTCAGGGAAGAAGGGCAGGCCATAATGGTCAGCTGATAATCAGGGGTGGAAGATTTTTGTATTTACAGTGCAATTTCCAGAATACTACAGAACGCAAGCTGTGAGTTTTTGGGTTTATGTATGTATGTATGTATGTATGTATGTATGTATGTATGTATGTATGTATGTATGTATGTATGTATGTAAGTACGTACGTACGCACGCACGCACGCACGCACGCACGCACGCACGCACGCACGTACGTACGTACGTATGTAATAGAGATGTGGTGGCGCTGCAGGTTAAACCGCAGAAGCCTCTGCGCTGCAAGGTCGGAAGACCTGCCGTCGTAAGATCGAATCCACGCGACGGAGGGAGCTCCCATCGCTTGTCCCAGCTCCCGCGAACCTAGCCATTCGAAAGCATGTAAAAATGCAAGTATATAAATAGGTACCACTTATTTATGTTAAGTCCAGCAGGGTTTCCGCTTGCATCCTGGGTACCACCAGTAATTTGAAGGCTGGACTGGCATCAGGGGAGGTATATACTCACCAGCACCCCTTTCTCTTTGCAGTACTGGCTGGCTGCTTGCTCCTCCCGGCTGAGGGCAGACAGAGCCTGTTTGAGCCGCTCGTCCAGCTCTGATGATTTCTAAACAGAAGAACCCGAAGAATTATGAGATCCCCTTTTAAAAAAGGAAGAGGGAGAACCAGCTCTAAGGCAGATGCATCACTGGTTTGATGCAGGAACAGTTGCTCAAAAAACTTGAGAGTTTCCAAAACCTCAGTTTGGAGCCTCAGAAGTTGGAAACTTTTTTTTAAAATGCATCCACACCAGCTAGAAGATTCTGGGAGCTGTTCGGCCACGGAGAACACTTGCTTCCAGGTTCTGGGTTGGACCCGCAGGCCCATCGTTAGGGACTGATGGAAGACGTGAGAAGGTGGAGGTGCTCACTCTGACCCCTGTGTGGACATGCGGGTTGAAGCATTTGGCAGATATCTGGCTTATGGACTGGATTCCCAACTGGTGGAGCGGCAGCGTGTTGAACGGCACCAAGGAAATCTTGGGTTTATTTCATAAACGACATGATGGTTTCCTGCTGGCAAAGGGGTGGTGGTGGTGAGGACTTCTCCCAGCCTGGCCTTTTGCACAACAGAATGAGCAAACGGATCCAGAATTGCTGTGATAACAAGGCTCTGGCTGAGCTGGAAGTCAATGGACAGGCTACAGGGTTGCGCCCTTTCAATGGGCTCCAGGCCCAGAATGTACCCTGATAAGGATCATACGGTCATATTGTGTGCTACGAGACAAAGGGATATTTTGCTTCTTAGGAATAAAGGAAGGTGCTGCCGTGAGCTTCAGCAAGGGAGCTGGTGGGAAGTTGGGGCAAATATAGTGTTTTATGAAGAGCTAACTGTGGCTACCTGGCTGGATAGCTCAGTGAGATAGGCTTCTGGCTGTGGAGTCAGAGCCTGGGAATTCGATTTCCCACTTTGCATTCCACAAGAGCAAGCCTGTGTGGCTTTTGGGCAAGCCGCACAGCCCCAGGATGGGAAGGGAAGGGTAAACCACTTCTGAATAGTGTATTCACTCTCTCGAAAACCCTAGAAAGGGTAGCTCTAAGTCAGACGGTACATAGTTATTATAATTAACTGTTGCTACTTTTACATAATTATAATTTCATCTGATATTTTAATCCAGATGGTTCTGCTTTTCTGCTTTTCATTTCATCACTGCATTGCACTGTGCAAGAAACTCATTGATTTCCCTTGGATTTCTTTTCTACTGTACCTTCATTTCGTGGCTCTATTTCCCTGTTTGCCTGCTGTGATTTCAATCAATTTTCAAATTAATTATGCCTGGGAGTAGCCTCAAATCATCTCCGGTTACACCAGAGGCAGTCCCGACACCAGTCAAATCCAGGAGCTGGACAGGGGACAGATGGTGTTTGTCTTCAGGGTGGAAGGGATGGTCACCCAAATTGGCCTCCTCAGCCACACTAGA